AGCTTTAAGCACGGAAAACCTGTGTTGGAATCACTTTCTGGAAATGTCTTGTTTTCTCCACCAGTTACAGAGAGAATTTAGGCTCTGAGTTTAAGTTGTAAGGATTATTCATCAGATGTCTGAATTAATCAACAAAGATGGTATAATTGCAGCCTTGCTCAATATCTTATTTCATGGATAATGAACATATTTTTATTACTGGTGAAATATTATATTGCTTTATAGATTGCACAATATATTTATCAAATTAAATTAATGGCAAATACACTACAAGATTATTTGTTTTAAAAATTAAATATGTAACTTCATAACTATGTTGTCACTGATTATGTTAGCTCTCAGATTGTGTAGGTGATCAGATTGTACAGAAGGTGGTTTATGTCTGTTAGTGACAGAGGTGTTAGGTAGAAACTTAAAAAAGATTAAAAATCAGGAACATCCAAAGTTAGTGGCATAAATCTCTCCACTATTACCTTTCTTGTACCATAGCCTCAGCTTAATGTGGTCATTTCCGTTTCTTTAGATATTTACAGCAAAAAAAGGCCACAGAAATGATGAGCAAAACGATTGCCATTTTATACTCCAGCATATTTTCTAGTACCATAATCTAACGAAGAAATCAAACCAAAACAGTGCTATACAACAGAGAATACATTAGAACGGAACAAAGGTATGTCTTTAAGGTGTTGAGAATAAAGGTTTCAGAAGATCACTGTGTAAACTTTTTTGTTAGTACTATCAGTGGCTGCACAAATTTTTAATACATCTGAAAAAAAGACAATGAAGGTAGTATTAAAGTACTCCTGCACAGCAATCTGCATCTTCAACGACATTCTTTTGACATGTATTCACACCAAGAGCCAAGTGACTAATTTGAGGATTTGCAGTGAGCTTTCTAAATTATATCTATATATGATTTATTTGATCATTTGTAAGGACAGAAATCCATGCACCTTTAAGGAAAGGAAAGTGAGAAAACAAAGTAAGTGAAAATAGGCTTAAAAGACAACTGACCTTTTTCCACTTCATTCAGATTAGCAGCTTGCAGTGACAAAGACAGAAGAGACAAGAGACTTTTTACATTGTAATACAACAGCATAGCACATTAAGCTAATGCACAATTATAGCAGCAGAGAGGTTGGTACAGCAAAATGAAGCAAGCATCAGAATCTCACCTACAGCAGAGCAAAACAAACAGAAAAGGTAACAAGTACATGCCACTGGTGGCATAAGAAAGGTTTTACTTCTGGATCAATTAGATCTGTGATCTAATGACTGATGATAATGAGCAAGACAAATGATCATCTGCAATCTATAGAATGTACATAAAATGACCTGAATTTTACTAAACTGAGGTTAAAATAAAGGAGATGATAATGTTAAGAGAATAGCAAGGTTAAAGAGTGCAGGACATAGTGAAGTATTTTAAATGTTTTATTTCTCAAGGTTTTATCAGACACCCTGAGTGTCCACTGATTCCATTTGTTTACTGTTATTTCACAGTTACAGTCTGTGACCTTAAGAAAGCTCATAGTATAGTGCAAATACCATTCTTTTTCTTTCCACCTGTAACTGTGGAGGCAATTGTAAAACTTAACTGAGGCAGAGAAAAATGGATTCCTGATTCCTAAGCAGCAGCATAATAAGCTTTTAGAAATTGTTTTTAAATCAACACTGTGTACTTGAGAAGTGTCAATTTCCAAGGGATTGTTAGAAAAGTCAGAAAGTGACTGTCTGGTTTTGCACTGCAACATTCTTTATTTTTTTTTTTTTGTAGTTTTTATATGTATCTTCAGAGTTAATTTGAGATTCTAACAAGCCCTCCTCATGAAAACAAAACTTTAAAGAATGATTTACATTTCATACCAGCAGGTTTCAGCTGACTTCTTCCTTATACTGTGCTACTGAAATGTAAAGCATATTTGCAGATAACCATTCACCCAGAAAAACATTCTAGGCTGCTGCACTTCCACATTCAGTACATATATGCTGTGACATCTTGAACACAGAGAATTCGAAGTATTGCCAAAAGAATTAAAAGAGAACAGGACCCAGTCTCCAGCAACTTAGAGCTCAGGGACTTTCTGACCTAGAGATATCTCTGAACTTAAAAATCTTTTTGCCTACTGAATATATAGCCTGTTTTCCTTTTGCCCAGCTAGTACATGAATTCATTTAGTGAAAAATACCTTTCATAAAAAAACACATTAGCAATATGCATATCTGATTTTAACCTGTTAGAACAGATACCAAAATCCAAATGTTTACAAAGTTCCTCTTGAAAATCACTGTATCCATACTGGACAGGGATTCTGTTACTTATCTTTCAAATCAGGCTACAGGCCAAAGAAAAAAAAATTCCTATAATTTGGTACCTCATACACACGTGAGGCAACTGTAAGATTACTTTATATTCTGAACACTACCATTTCTAGATCCTGATGTGTCCAGAGTACTGTCAGTGTAATTCTTAACACTGAAGGTTATTTAACTATTTCACAAGATCAAGAATGACGGACGTGAAGACCCCCTGACTAGCTCGATGTTTTATATTTTCACTTTACAATTAATCTTGACAATGACTTAGGATCTCACACATTGCGTTCTATCCTCAGATGCTTTGTAAGATAACATATTGTAGAATTCTGTACTGTATCACGTGGAATGAAAAATCTCAACCTCTGCTACAAATTTGCCCAACATAAAATGAGTTGAGGCTCTATTGTTGTATGTTTAAAAAAATACATGGCTTTGTTTTTAGTAAGGTGTTGAAAAAGATTTGATGAGATAGTGTAAATTCTCAATATTTTTTAAAAACCAGAACAGCTAAACTTACTGATTACAAGTAGATTGTTTTGATTTATCTCAGAGCTGGTGAGAAGATTCTCACCTACTCATATGACCTACTGACTTCAGGAGCGATTATGAGTAGGCATTGCATCTGTAAGAGCAAATCCCTTTTTCTGAAGGAATTACAGTTAGCAAATAAAAACACTTGCTATGTAAACTCATAGTATTTTCCTTTTAGAATTATGCACAATTATGAATCAAATTAAAAAATACACTTGCTTGTATTTTGACTAAAGAAACACAACTGCTATACAGACATCAGAAACGTTACCCATGTTTAGTCTCTTTTTTTCTCTAACTGTATAGATGTATAGAGAAGTGCTACAATTGCTGTTTCAATTGTAAATGTAAAATGTACATTTCAATTACAATACTATAGAAATGCAACAGGTACACAATTGAAGTTTTAGGCTAGCACATATAAACAAGCTTTTGTATACACTCCATGGGTATTTAATACAAACCAGTCCTTCCCATGGCATACTGTGGATACAGCAAGCTATTGACACTAGCAGTTAAATGCACCTAGAGCAATGTTGAAAATTAAGACATGAACGACACAGGTAAAAACACCTGCAAAACTCCAAAGGAGGAATGCACTTGAAAATGAATTGTCTACTATCTAATACATATATGAAACATCTTAGCATGAAGCCACTGAACAGGAATACTGAACTGATGTGACTTTGGTTTGCTTTCTTCCAGCCTACACAGTAAAATATCTGATCCCATTTTTAAATGAGAAAGCAATTGATCCCAGGGGAGCTGAAGCTTGACTCACATATACCTGAAATATTAGTTATAGGAGAAATAGCAAACACTTGTCTCTACTTACTGACGCTATCACCTATTATTTGTTTCTAAGGCTTGATTTGTCAGTTGCTTTTAGGTATTAAGGTATCAGTACTTGGCAAAACAGTATTTTGTCTAAGCAGAGGATTATGACTGTCCTTCCAGATGTGGATGATCCACTTATTACTAAATAATTTATTCTGGCTACTTGTACTTTTAAGCTGTATTGCTGTAGGTATCGTAGTTTATTCTGTATGGGAAAATTTCTACCAAACATTTACCCAGCATAAATACTGGATGAATACATACATTAGATTATGAAGTTGTATTTCTTATATCTGTGTTCTATCATCTTCACTCATTGTGGATTTCCAAGATTTAAATATTGACTTTAAATTTGAATACCCTAAAACGTTTGAGCATTCCAGTAGGTTGTAGAACTAATGATGGAAATACCTTGGATTAAAAAGGAGTTAGCTGTGTTTTCAATAAATAAAATTAATTCAGGAGTTCACCTCTCCTTCCAGTTTTCCAGAGCTCAAATTTGATTGATTGATTAAAGATATAGGGTGACTAAGTAGAGTTAATTCCCAAGTTATGGTGGATTTTACATTTCTTTTTTATACATTTCAAATCATGGTTTTGTGAATTTAAGCTCTGTGTTCTCCTAGTAGTCAACTAGCTGACAGAAAATAGATCTGCCTAGTTAGAAAAACTATAAAACAGATAAATGTAAACAATAGATCCTTCTTCCCCAGTGTTGCTGTTCTAACTATCCTCCTTCCCATAGAGATGATGACAGTAAGCAAGAGACCCTCTGTCTCAAAGAGAGAGGAATGCTTTGGCCTGGCTGCCAACTGATAGAAAGAAATAATTAGACACACTTTTTTTTTTTTTTTTTTGTGCTAGAACAGAAAGCATCACATTCTGCATTAATGTTTCTAATGGAGGGCAGAAAAGCATCCAGGGGTGCCAAATTCAGTTCCTAACTGGCACAGACAGATCCTCTTCTGCCCTGTTAGTAACATGAGGTATACAGGATAAAAGCAGAATATTTTTCAGATTTCTGCAGCTACAGAGGTTTTTCATTGGCGTGTCTGGGTTAGGTAAACAGTAGGGAGGGACACATTTTAAATGACTTTTTAAATATCAAAATGCTGTAATTTCAAAACTAACAAAGAAATTAATGAGTTGGCTTTAAGTCTACTTTTGACTACAAACCATATAGGAGAAAAATACGGAGTGAAACCTGGCTTTAAGTCAATTGTAGAGTAACTACTAATGCACCTACAAACTGAAAAATATTACTGTTCTGCTAGGGATTCTTGAATTACCTGTACTTTCTTTTATACTCCTACCTGTGTATTCAGGTGGACAAAGGCAAGTATAGTTATTAATTCCATCAACGCAAGTAGAATTATTTTCACAGTCATTGTCTTCACAATCATCAACATTTACTTCACAGTTTTCACCTTCAAATCCATCTGCACAAGTGCACCTGTAATACAGAAAACAAAACTAATCACATGGACATTTTAGCTGGCGAGACCAGACAAGAAGTTCTGTAACTAATAGGCACACTATTCATAATCACTATCCCATAAAGGAACACGGTTGATACAAAACAAAAATATCAAAATAGATAGTAAATGTAGATCACTCAAACATGACTACACATACATTTTCATGTAATATGCATTATCTATAATTTCTGCAGCTTTCATTATAAGATTGCTTTGATTTTCAAAATATGTAGTGTTTAAACAAATAAATGAAAAAATCAAATTCTGAGACATGACAATGTCACTTTAAATTCTAGAGGCATAGTATTAAGAGGTATACGCTTAATTTTTAATACACAATTATTTAATCTTTGGGCAGAATTTGGATTAAAAAATAAGAATAATGTAATAATGAATTGCAAGATAATGAATTGTATCTTTTTGAACTGTCATTTCTAACAAGCTTGAGGTGTAGATTATTAAACGACTAATAATTTCACATAAGAATGCTAAAGACCTTTATTTCATAATTCATGAAGTACATCTGGAGTAATTGTACTGTGTGATTAAATAACTCGATTAAAAATGCTCACAGCATGTTTATCTGCTGGCATAGTGAGTTTCAAATGAATCATTAATTTTCTGTTTCACTGGGATTTACATTTTATTATTTACATGCTGTCTGTTGAAGTAATACACACGACAACAGATGAATTGTGAGATTTTTTCAGCAGGGATCTAGCTAGCTATTAATTAGCATAATGGAGTCAATACTATGTTGTCTTGACCTGATGTGCCTCAACTAATCACAATCATTTGTTATTGTTTTTAACAGTTTCAAAGCTTTAGAAGCTTTCCAAGGACTGCGACATATTCTGAAAACCTCAGAAGATCTGAAAATCTGCCTTCGTGGTGCACTTACCAGCAAATGCAGAGAACCCAAAGATTAACACCATAATTATTTCAACATATAAAACTCAGTAGTTTTCCATCCTGTTATTACAATTAAAAACAACCTACCAGAAACCATCTTTTTCTCCTTCTTTCAAATGACAAGTTCCGCCATTGTGGCACGGGTTACTAATGCAAGCATGAATGGGAATATCACAGTCTTGACCCTATGCAGGGAACAAAAATTATAATTTAAGAAGAAAATACAGACACTAGTGGAAGGAAGCCAAATAAAATTTAAAGGTTGTTAAGGAGAAGCTTACATTTCAGTAAGCTGTTTCCTCTCCATTCAGTACCTACCTTGAAACCATATGGGCAAGTACATCTATAGAAGTCAACTGGATCATTGTTGCAGGTTCCATCATTTTTACATGGATTTGATAAACAGGGGTTACACTTAGCAAGAATATTAACATCCACGGGCCCTTAAAAGTACAAATTGGATAGTCAGAAACAAACAACTATTAATTTATATTTGACAGGATATATCTACCATGTTGCTTTAAAATTTAAAGTGAAATTTATATTTTAGACTTTGTGGTGTTCTATATGAATGGAATGCTGAACTGTCCTTAATTCTTTTGACATGATCAAATAAATTTGGGGTTGGATTTTTGGATTAATTATCACTTTTGTTTTTCAAAAAAGAAGCTGACTCCAAAGTGATTCCCATATCTGCATTCTCTGAAATGCGTACAGTTCTGATCCATGATAATTACCTTCCCTTTGTATTAACAAAATGAAGAATATGATTTCAGCTTTTATTTTTTATCTGCAGGATCACAAAGATGGCAAAATGAACTGCTAAAATTACCTGTAAATTGGTTGAACATCTGTGAACCGTAATGTAAACTGCATTGTCCAAGCTATTTCACTGTAAATAGCTCCATATTGCGCCTTGCTCCCTTTTGGAGTCAGCCACAGTTCTGTGCATTACTGCATTAGCTGAGCCCACAAATACTGCAATCTGTACCATGCATCTATGTGCAAATGAGGGTTGCAATCCATGTTTGCAGTCTGATTTCTTATATTAATGATTATAATGACAGAATTCAGAAATGAATATTGACAAAATCTTAAGTTTCAAAAGTCAGACTTAGAGCTTTGGCCTACATAAATCTTATCCCTATTACATAAATATTTTTTAGATATTTATTTTTCTGTTGTTTTACAATTTTGATACAGCCTTTTCATGGTGAATTTTCAAGTTAGGAACCATCAATCTTAAATTTTATTTTTTTTTTTTTTGTCAACCAACCAAAGAAATCTCTGGTTATTTCTTAAAAATTAGAAATCACCTGTGTATAAATAATGATTCATTTTCATACACCTTGTGATAGAAAAAAAGTTTGATTACTGTAAGAGAAAATGAGTGACTTGGTCAAATGCCTATTAAGCGAATGAACATACATTCTCTACTATCTCCAGGTCTATTGCCTGATGATATTACTGCCACCAGCTTGATTTCAGGTTTCACCTATGAAAAAAACCTTCTGTTATCCACAGGTGATTTGTACATTTTGAGGAATAACCAGTGATTTCCTCTAACTAGATACAAAACTGAAACTCCTGAGACCTGCTGGTAGAAATGCCTGATTGCTCTGTAACAGGTTTTACTCAAAATGAGCCAGACTGCAAAGTTTTCCAAGCTAACAGGGCACTTTTGCTGAGATATAGGGCTTTGGGTTTTTTTCAAACTTAGATTTCTTAACTTTCTTTTCTTATTTTTCTTTGCAAAATTAATCTCAGATAAGTCATTGTAAGGGAGCAGGCATGGAAGGAAGCCATGTGATTATAAGGATTCAGCAGAGGGTATTAGACAAGGGTAGGTTGACTTTTTATTTTATTTTTTTAAAATCTGCAGTTACTGGTATCCTTCTGTGTCACAGCTTGCGAGCAAATCCAAAGGGATGAACTGTGATAAGATGCTTATTGCCAAAGCCACAGTCTATATGGATCATTGACTATTCTTGTCTTCATTGCCTTATGTTGAAAGAGAAATCTATATCTAATTAAAGTTTCTGTTAGACCAGCAAACAGCAGAGGTAGAAGAGTTGAAACAAACACCATAGAATTAACATCTAGAAAGTCCTGCCTGTGTACTCTAGATTATTGCTGATTATTGCTAGAGTACATTAAGAGTTTCTGTGAAAAAAATAAGGTGCAAGAGGCATGTACTTAAAAAAAATGTTTGTAACACTGTGCTGTAACCTGGAAGTCTATGCTTCCTTGCCTCAACTGTTTATTCTGAATTCTTTTCTACTTCTCATGCAATAAAATACTAATTATTTGGCATGAATTAAAAAACATACAGTAACTAACGTTGTTTTCTCAATCACATTAGCAATCTAAATTGCACTTCCAAAACAGAGCCAGAAGATGGGAACCTAAGTCTCAACAAGATAGTTACAACACAGTGTCTGATTTTGTGCTGTGTTTATTTCAAAGTATTATATATGTTGTATCCAATAAAAATTAACATTTTGATTTATCATTCTTCAGTTGTAAGTTAAAAAAAAAGGAAATGTTTCAGATATTTTTACTGAAGTCTAATGGAAAGGCAGTTCTGGAACCTATTTTCATTTGCACTATACCATTCCTTTCCTCTTTCTGCTTGCATGTGTTAAAAGACTTGCATATGAAAAAGAATTGGGTTCATAAACTATTGCTTAGTTTTTCATATTGTAGACATATATATCCTTGAATAAGCCCTAACTGGAAAAAAAATCCTTAAAATAAAAGAAAAAAAATAGTAGTATTCTTTTGTAAATAGTGAAAAACTAACTGTATTATATTGATAAACATAGACACACACATGTAGCTATGTAACATTTTTCAAGAAAAACATGACACAAAAACCCTCTCAAAACCAGCTTCTAGAGAAACCTGTTGCAAGAAAAACTTTGAACTCTGACATTTTATGACTCCTATTCTCTCTTGCGTATGGCCTCAAAAACAGTATCGATACTAATTCACTTATACTAAAGCTGCTAATGAAATTGCCAATTTTAGTTACAGTGCAGTGGAAACAATCATTTCAGTTACATAAATTTCAGACCTCAAACCCAGGCTTTTAAAATAACAAAACTGTTCATACAATATGTTAAATGACGTATCATGAAGAGTCAGCTGTAAATTCATCAAAGGGGAAAACAAACAGTAAACATGCGTGTCTTAGGAAAGAAGTCTGCTTGAGGTACACAAAAGGAAGGTCAGAAGGTCTGTTCTTAATCAGATCACCCATTCCAGATCTACTTATAACCTTACCTGGTATCAGAAAACCACAAGGCCCTGGAATCTCTAGAAGCAGGGCATGGATGGTAAAGAGGTAAAAGTAAAAGATTGAGAATCTGTTAGAGGCCACATAAAAAAAGAAAAAAACACCCATAAATGTAGAAAAAAAACTGAAAGAAGAAAACACTAAGGAATGATTCCTGGAGTAAAAGAATTCATAAAATTAGAGTAAGGTACAATGATTTTATGGAGCTTTACAACTGAGATGAGACTTCATTTTAAAATGTTCATTTTCACTGGGAACTATTCATTATGTAAGTAAAATTCAAGCACCCATTTAACTTTCAATTGAATCCAGAGATGCTGATAAGAGGGAATTACACACCACTCTTTTCCTGTAAATATATACACAATAGTGGACCATCAACAGATATTCTGAAAACACTCCTCTCACTCATAGCCCAAAATTTTGGTTCTAATAGAAATATAACGTCTTCCTAATTTCTATTCAGCAGTTTTAAGCAAAAGATAAAATTACTTATCTTTGAGTAACAAACATATAATGTCTTACAGGGCCATCATGTCATTGAAAAGCTGCTGATTTGCAATCTGTAATTATAAGCATCTTCATAGGACAGTGGCAGGAAAATTATTTTCTTTCAAAGGTATCCATAATACCAGATCTCCACTCTTGGAACTGAAACAAATACAGTTCTTACCCTGCATAATAATATAAAGGCTATTTTCTGATGGGCAAGAGGGAGTAAGATATATTTTCTGGATTGTCTAACAGAAACATAACAATGATTGTAGGCATGGATGATACAGTTTTTACAGCTGACAGAGCTGGAAAACAACCAAACAGGTGCTTCATGTCCATGCAGATATTCTTTCACTTATATCCCTACAACAGTGTGTAACGAGCATATCTGCAATAATGTTCAGTGGGTACTTGTAGAGAAAACGATCAGATTGGCCAGCAAATGTTCTATCTAAAGTCAGACTGAGACTTTGCAACAGATGAGTGTCATATGCAATGAACACTGACATGACCTCAGAGATGTGCTGCTGAAAAATTACAAGAAGGATTTGGAGGGAGAGACAATTCGTTGGAATCACAAGCAACAAAATGGATTCCAGTGGTTTTTGTTTACAAAAAAGTTTTTTTGATAGAAAGTCTAAGGACAGAAGACTAAATAGGATGGACATGCAGTAAAGAACAAGTTTGGATGAGACAAACTCTGACAAAGTCCCATTGCTTTTTTTAAGGAAGAAATTACAAAGGGATTAAGCTCACCTTTGGAGATACATTAACAGATGAGTAAGTCAAAATAGCTTGAAGATTACCTAGACTGTGAGAGTAAATTACTTCTACAAGACTTAAGATCATATTTATCTGATACCTCAGAAATAAGCTTAGTAACAGCTTACAAGCATAAGCACACATACATTTTGTTGTTTTGTTATTTTTGTTTTGTTTTGTTGTTTTCAATTAGGGATTTCAATGTTTCTAAATCAGGACCATGAAAAATGAAGCTACAGCAGAAGCTTTCCATGTTTTCAAAATATTTAAGAAAGGAGAAATGGATGGAATAGAAGATTAAACAGTAAACCAAACTAAGTTCTCTCTCAATGTGAGTAAAAAAGGTACTTTTCTAACCAAAAAATAGTAGGTTCAGAGAAAAAGCCTAGGAATTAACAAACAATAATATAATTGTGATATAAATGCCAGCAACATTGGTACCAACATGGAGATAAACAGTCTGGATGCAAACCCTGAGGAACCTCCTCATATAACAACATTTTAGAATGAGACCTCTATAGGGGTAATCACATCCCTTTATCTAGGTTTTGGGGTTTTGTTTTGTTTTGTTTTTCATGCTTTATTCTGAAATATCAGAGGAAGCATTCTGGACATGTTGAGGCAATTAATTGCACACTACAAGGATTATGAATGTATTTACAGTTTTTACTGTAAACAGTCTGAAGGAAAGGGACATTCTTTGGCTGAGGGAAGTGTAGATGTTTAAGCTGTAGTTCATGACTGAGACAGTACCAAGGACCTATGTACATCCATGTACTGAGGAATACTGTACTGCAAGTCCAAAGACTTTTTTTTTCTCCATCTATTTGAAAAGAAATAGACATTGAAGTCTTTAAAATAAATACAGTTCCTGAATGAAGCCAATGGCTCCTAAGTATGAGGAGGAATGATGACAAGGCTGAGTGAAGATGTTATAATAAATGTATTTAGAGCACACAGGACTCTTATCTCACAGCTCAACTATTTGTATAAATTCAAAATTGACAGTTCAAAGAGAAAAAAAACAACAACAGTACCTTGGCAAGTAAATTTTTTAGAAGGAGTTGTGAGAAGAAGTTTATCTGCCATTTCTCCAGGACCAGCACAACGTGCAATACCAGGTTCTTTGTATTCTGATTTTACCCAGTCAGAGAGCCACTGCATGTTACAATCACAATAAAGAGGATTTGCTCCAATAGCCCTATGGAAAACAGACAAACAAAGAGGGAATAAAGTTTGAAATGGTTGCTTTTAAAAAGAGAAGCCAGAAAACAGGTTGGCAAAAGAAACTTCAAACCACAAACCTGCCCTTCCTCCACGAAATTGACTGTAAGAACATGAAGTGTCTCGATTTGGGTTCTAAATAAGAAGTGATAGTTTTAGGAGTAAACTTGGTCCAGAATCCTAGCTATTCATAGCTGCATTATGTGTGAACTTTGGAGACCGAATACTAACTAGCTCTGTTTCACCATTTGTATGTAATGGCCAGGATCAGCTGCATCACCAGAATGAAACTGATGTTGGGAAATTAAGCTAGCAAGAATAAAGTATTCCTTCCAAAGTAGTGAAGGCAACTCCACAGAGTTCCATCCTGATATTCTTCCCTTCCAGTTTATGGCTCCCAGGCTGGTGCAAACCATCTGTTTCTAAGCTTCCAAATTTGATTTAATTATTTCCTCTTTGGAGCTCTCCCACTGAACTCACAGCTATGTGAAGAATTCTGTAAGAGGTCTCTGCTGCATAAGTAAATAAAACTACATTATCCTAGCTTTGTGGTAGTTACATAAGAATTGCCTGGTTATGAAAGCAAATCCATTTCTTTAAATAAATCTGATTTTTTTAAATTAAAAATTATTTAGCTAGAAATTTTCAGAATTAATTTCTGTAAAGGCTTTCTAAGTGTCTGTTTGCTAGAAACTGTAAATACTCTTAAAACTCTGAGACCAATGATATGTTGTGTAGTTAATTTGGAGGACAGAAACATTGTGCTATTCTATAAAGATGTACTCATATTCCTTTTAAGAAATACAATAATCATAGAACTTTTAACAGATAATCTTGACACCTGCACACACTGTCAAATGGCAGTATTAGAACATCCTCCTCCTCCAGATCTTTCAGTACTTTTTTCAGATTGTTCCAGAACTTTGGATCAGTGGGTCTTCTAGAAATACAAGAAAATCCTTGGCAAGCAAAGGTGGTAGAAACTACCACTGCTGAAACACTCTTTTCTGCCACACTGAGCAGGAAGCTCTCTCTTGATTACTGCTACACACTTCCAGCTGAACACAAGAAAATATATATACCTGTTCAGTCAGGCTTAAGTCAAAGCAGTAAGAAAAATTGGATGTAGTGATCGGAACTTTCCATGCAAGGAAAAACACCTAGAATTTGTCTACTCCATATTTGCAGGAGTGAATGTCAGCCTGAACTGAGATAACACAATTGCTCTGCTAAAATCAGAATGTTAGCAAGGACAACTACAAGGCAGCCAGTGAGAAAAAAAAAACAGCAACAACAATCAAATCTAGGTAAGTTTCACTAATATTTCATGCAGATAAGTGAGTTTAATAGTAGCATTTGGATGAATTATCAATGACTTAAAGCTTAATCAGTATCATCAAATTTCTGAGAAATGACAAATTACATGTTAATGTCCAATACTGAAACAGATAATTAAGTTTTGAACAACTGCAGCTGTTCAGAAACATAAAACCCAGATATATCTAAAGGCACTAGTCAATTTACTCCTCAATTGCAAGCAAAGATTTAAAAACTATCTGTAAACACAACAAGGTTTACAGATAGGTAACTTGTTCTAATCTAGGTTCCCATTGAAAATTAAAAACAGGAAAAGTATTGCCTCGAATCGTGTTCTGAAATGAGACGCCATATATGTAATGTCAACTTAACAGACACCAACACAGAATCATAGAATAATTTAGGGCACTCTGGAGGTCATCTAGTCTGACCTTTGGTACAAAGCAGAGTTTGCTTCAAAGTCAAACCAGGGTTGCTCAGGGCTATGTCCAGCTGAGCTCTGAAAATCTCCAGGGATGGAGATACTTCTGCTTCTTTGGGCAACCTGTACCAAAGCTGAACCACCCTCACAGTGAAGAATTTTTCGTTATGTTCAATCAAACTTCCCTTGTTGCAGCTTGTGACTGTTGACACTTATTCTTCACTGTGCACCTCTTGAGAAAAATCTGTTTCCATCATTGCTGTAAGTCCCTTAGAGTCTTAAAGACTATTAGGTGCCTCCTTGGCATCTCTTTCTCCAGGCTAAATAAGCCCAATTCCTTTAGCCTGTCCTCACAGCTCATATGATCCAGCCACCTCCCCACCTTGCTTGCCCCTATCCTGGGTTTGCTCTGCTTCATAACGCATCTGCTTTGTATTGGAGAAACTGAACATATATTCCAGATGTGGCCTTAGGAGGGCCAAGCAGAAGGGAGTGACCGCTATCCTCAATCACCTGGCTGCTCGCTTTCTAATTCAGTCCAGAGTATCTTTAGCCAGCATTGCCATAAGGGCACATGGCAGACATGTTCAATTTGCTGCCCGCCAGGAGGCCCAGGATTTTTCTGCTGAGCTGCTAGCTCTCTAGCCAGTCCCCAGCCTGTACTGATGCGGGAGCTTGTTCCAGAGCAGTCCTTTGCATTTTGTCTTTGTTCAACTATATGAAATCTGTTAAATGCAACATAAAAAATACAGTTATCATCTGAATACTCACAGGTGTGATAATGCTGAAAGATCATTAAAAGCTCCTTCAGGAACAACAGAAATATCATTGCCATGTAAAGACCTTAAAAAGAAAATATACAGAATAACATATATGCATAAAAATCAGCAGGTTAACTTTGCAAATTTCATCTTCTGTGAAGTTTTCAGCTCTTCACATTTTTTTCTTCCATTTCCTCAGTGTTTCCAGGTGTTTTTTGTTTTGTTTTGTTTTCTTTCAAGCTCTAACTGGCAGCCTACTCATAATTTGATTTTTTTGATCCTGAATTTTCATAAGAAATGTTAATATGATTCTTTTAAAATTGAAAGAATACAGGTTGGTAAAAGTAAGGACACTTTTGCAAAGTAGTGACTGGATTTAGGGATAGCAGAAGAATTGTTATTTCTGACTTTCTCAGCAATTCCCTGAAATTCTCATGAATGTTGTTCATACTTTTTTTTTAATATTTCATGGATTAATGGAAAATACAGGCATTGACTGTTCGTTAATATACGCATTAATGTTGTTTCCCTAGTTTAATAGTAAAGTTAAAGAGCTAAAGACCTTATTAAGCGTCAATACTGGGACTAGTGTTATCTCTCCTGTAGCAAACCTGCACAAAAGTCTCTCTCCTTTTCTAGAAATTCATTCAGTTACATGTATGTCTAACACATAAAGAATTATGGTTCTTGAAATTACCTGGATTTATATAAAGTAATTCAAGTTATGTGAGCATAGCTAAAGAATGCCGTGCTTGAGACATTTAATGCAACTGAGCTATTAAGTGGTTATAAACTACACAAATGGAGGCAAAAATTGCATGTTCTGCTGGAGACTTTTGAGAAATAATTTTTGCAGGTTTTTTTCTTAATGACAAACTGAAACTGTAAACTAGATTGACTGTTCTTTATTTTCCTTTATCCTTTTTTCTGCCCTTTCAACTATGTTTTCCTAGTGGTAAAATGGAAAGTTTTCTTGGAACCAAAATGTAATTTTATTGATTTTCAATAGTTAACCATGATGTGATGGTTTTGGAAATACTTTCGTATTAAATGAAACAGGAAATAAATAAATTTCTTGTTGGAATAAAAATATTCAAAATTCAACTGCAAAAACCCCTCATATATACTGAGGAATTTATGCATATGGCATTTTTGTAAGATTTTAATGTTTATAGCAAAGAAGAACACAACACAAAAAAGAAATGCAGACAAAGTTAAAAAGCAGAAAGGTAAAAAGTGTATTTCTGTATATACAAAGTTGTCCATGGTCACATAACTTCTTCTGAGAGTATACTTCCCTGGAATGAAGCCACTTAGATTTTTAAGGTTATGTAACTATCACTTCTCAAATACTTGATAGGTTTTAAAATCTAGTAACTTCTTACAGATTTGCTATCTGCTGTACACAAATAAAAATTCTGGAAAATAGCAATGGTTAAAAAATATACTTACAACAACCTGAGTGATTTCAACCCATCAAAAGTCCGTGCAGGTATACACCTCAGGCGGTTGTAACTAAGAATTCTGAAAATATATAAAATACTGTCAGCAAGTTTATCAGCCTTTCATTAAACAATGCAGAGCATTACCAAAACCAGCCTATGCACACACAGGTAGTTAGAAAACAAGTTATTTTACAGCCTCCACAACAAGCAAGCTTTAATATCAACTAAATGCCCTTTCTTTCCAAGACAAAAAAAAACCAAAAAACCAAAAAACGGTAATGCTTCCAAAGAGTCACTGTTACATGTTTAAACTTACAAGGTGAGCAGCTGAGTCATGTTGCTGAAGCTCTGATTAGAAAGAGTGCTGATTCTGTTGTTACTTAAATCTCTATAAAAAATAAATTCAGAAATTCAGACCTTAAAATGACTGCCCCAATCCTGAAACACTAAGTTAAACTGACAGACACATTATTGTTATTAGTAGAAGTAGTATCATCATTGGTATCAATATTTAAAGCAGCACATATTTTTATTTTCACATGCTATATACAAGCCCAGCAAGTGTTTAGCTCGATCAATGAAAAGCATTTTCGTTCCAACACAGATGAAAAAGCAGCGCAATACACTTATACAACAGCGATGTCCGTCATGCTACTGAGTTAATAAGGCAATCCTACATGAACCCAAGTATAGAAATGAAAGTGATGTTTTAAAGTGGAAATAATTCTAGTCATGTCCCTGATGACACCTAAGTAAATATCATCTAATGCTCTACTTAACACTTATATGCTGAAGACATCAAAGCCTAGAGCTATTATTATAAAGAACACTATCTAAGATTTATAGAGAAAGCCATAACATCTTCCTTGTTGTTCAGTATTCTAATGAATAAAATCTTAAGCATAAGCATGATGGAAGCTGGTATGGTACGCTGGTAACTTCAAAGATGGTAGCTTCAAAGAAGCTTTGAAGAAGCCGTATTAAATGTGAATACTGCTTGTTCTTTATTTTCAAATTGTGCTTTAGTTTTAATTTTATGTTGATTATTTCACTACTGTTTACTGTATTTTGTGGTGAAATATAGCATTTGTTTCTGAGGGGACCTTGATATTTTAACTTAAGAGTACTGTTGAATAGCTATGCAATATACATATTTCTCCACTTGAAATTTCATGAAAGCATGTAAGACAACTGACTCATAATAATAAACATATTAGGCAAGTATAACAGAGCAATCTATTCAAAAGAGAAAAAAAAAGTTAGAAATAAATTATTTTCCTTGTTAATCTGGAACTCAGGAGACTTGTATGTAATTCCTTGTTTAGCCACAGAAGAACCACTAACCACAGAACCACTATGCATAGTGTTTTGGTTTTCCAAACACAGCTGAGGAACGTTCTCAACTTCCTAACAGCAGTATGAGGATACATTCAGAAGATGCTACAATAATGTGCCCCACAGGTCTGATAAATAGAGACTGTTAATACTCATCTTATTTACATTTTATTTACTGTTCATCTATAATTTATTGTATTACATTTGTCTGCTAAATTGTTTGCATGTATTTTCTGATTAGGAGGTAAAGTTACATGATTTCTGGCTCTGTTTGTCAAAAATAGACCATGAGTACCTAATCTCTGCAATGGAAGCCTTGTCACTATACCTTTAATTAACCTCATCTCTAGACATATATCCAGTCTCCACTGATACTGTTACTGCACACAGTCCAATCTATATGCTTGCTTCTTGTACTGAGGTTCCAAAGTTAATATTTTCTGTGTGCTGCAAGTTAGATCTTGTATAAATTCCCTAAACAATCCACAAAGATTTCCTATAGGTTCTACGCTGTATGCATCAGAGAATATTGGAAGGGTTTTTTCCTGATGTTATTTGCAAAATACAAAAAGTTTTGGAAAGATGTTTTTTCTAAATTTGTGACCATGACCACTTTTGTCTAGCATGAGGTAAATAAAGGAAATCAAGTTCTTGTTTTTGAATGCCAAACCATTTTCAATTTTTGCAGCAAAGCTCTAAACCCAGTCAAAAAGAAATTTAAGGGATTTTGTTACTCTCCTCCACTTTTTATCCTGATTATAATGAAACCACAAACTGCTTTGAGAATGTTACACAGTTCAACCTCAGCTGGTATAAATTTTTATAGTCCTAACAAAGGCCATGGAATTACAGCCATTTACATCGACAGTCTTCCTGTTTCTCTCACTGTACTCTTACAAGGTACAGAAATCATATTCAAATCATTCATGAAGTAGAGGTATATCTTAGAACAGCTAGTGATTTGCCTCAAATCACAGAGTGAGTCAGCAGTAGAGTTGGAAGTAAGGCGTTCTAGACAAGCTCTCTTCTTGAGTCATTAAAGCATATATTGTGGGAGAAACATAAGGGGTTACATTCAAGTGTTACAACAGCTGAATGTGCTATTCCTATGTGAAGCATACCACGGAGTGAAGCATATCACAGAATGTTTCTTTTGTAAATGAAATAATTCTAGTGCCTTTATGGAACTGCATAACGAAATCCTGTGTTACCCTAACACCTTACCCTAATTACCCTAACTTTGTAAGATCTTACATCTCTTTTCAGGTTAACTCTAATTTCTGCTTATTTACTTTTTGGTGTAATCACTGGAATGAAATACCCCCGTTTATAAAACATGACTGAGTATATTATATGTGGCATGTGATAAGTAGATTAAAATATCCTTCATTAAAAAATGTGTTTGGGTGTTATATTTGCTAAAAGATACAATACACTTAATGTTTTTTTTTTTCTTATAACTAAAACCAGGTATAATGGAGTAGGGTATTTTGTTTTGGTTCAGTTTTTTTTTCATTCCAGTAAAGAATGTTGCTCTAAAACTACTTACATGAGTGTTAAATGCTTGTAGTTGGAAAGCTCTTTTGGAACAAGGGTAAACTGATTTCCATCCAAATAACTAAAATAGAAATATAAAACATACAGCATTATGATTTTCATTAAAATAGTAGCATCTACTGATCTTAGAATAATCTTAGAATCCAACAGTAAAGTTAATAACAAATAAATATATACTATTTCAATTTTATAACAAACCTTGCTTACAAATTTTGGTTTTTAGAGGCACAACTGAGGACCTGCAGGCTAAGATCCAAATGCTATTGTATCAGATATTACAAATATTATGAAGTAACAGTAATAACAACCAACTCTTACATAATACTTTCTATTATTTTGTAAAGACTCTGCAAAACGAGGTCTTTATCATCTCCATTTCACACATGCATACAGGTGAAAAGTAAATCTGAATTCTGCAAGTCACATTAAGTGTGGATTTTGAACTATCATAAATAGAAACAGACCCTGACATTGCAGAGGTAGTCCTTTAGAAACAGCAAGGGGTGGTTCCAGCTCTAACAGCAAATTAATTTGTCATGCCTGCAGTTCAGGTCACCTTCCCTAATTTCTCCCTGTATATTTCATGATATATCAGGCGTGACATGCTACAAGCCTGTTCCTATGGAGTATGTTAGGGACTAAAGACAGTAATCGATTACCCTTCACTAGAAAAGTTAGTTTGTTTTTTTTTCCTCTTTGTAGGTTTACAACTCCTGTATTATATTGCTTGCTCTTCTTCCTGCTCATAATTCTCAATAACAGACTTGTTCATCCTTATGAGTCAACAGGTACAGAGCCGTCAAACTGCATCAGCACCTGAGTTACAGGCAAAGGAAGGCAACAAGCCTTGCCTAAAAAGCTTCCAATGTGCAGCCAGTCATTACAAAGTGCAAGTGGAGGGGCTCTTCATGTAACCTGGGCAAATCGTTTAGAGATAATAAGTGCTGAGTTTACCTGATTCTCTGAAATGGAGCAGACAGTGGCAGGGAGATTAAAGGTCATTAGTTTCTCAACTGGGGCAAATGTCTTGCTAATGGTAGTATTATGCTATTACTTGTGTCTTTGGAACCCAAGTAAAAACTACACCCTCATTATCCCTATACAAAGAAGATATTTTAGCCATCCAAATACTTGGAACACACTTGAGTTAAGGGCAGCCTCTGATAGAGACATTCTTGGACTCATTTTGAACTTAATGTCTTGAAGTATGCTGCAGCATCTTTGGAAACCTTTGTCTTGACTAAATGAAACACAGTTAAACTTAATGAAATAACTATCTACATTTAACAAAAATCTTTTTCTTTCTAGTTTTTTTTTTTTTCCCCTCGGACTGTGCTTTCCTTAGGGCTGCCTGCCAAATCCAAAATAAGTGTCTCAACAAGTTTTATGCTTACACTATGTTAATGGCATTACATAAATGGTGGTGAATGGAGCATGGGCTCATATACTTAATAAAAAAGAAACCAACAACATTTAAACTTTTTGAAGGATTAAGTGTTCTGATAAAATTCTTTTATCGACAGATAAATTAGGATATATTGCTTTAGCTTCATTAGAACTGAAGTATTACAAGTATCCCCTTGGCTGATAAAAATTCCTCCTCATTCAAATGAAGCAACTATTAAGATATTTTCTAAAACACATGAAGAGTACATCTTGGAAGGGTTATGCATGCTAATGAACAAGAAGAATCAATCAGTATGCAACTGCTAACAGGAACCACCTCCATTATCCTTTTGAAAAATATGCTAAATTGCATGCTTAGACACTAATTAAAGCATACAAAATTGTACACAAATGAGTTTTCAGTCACAGTCAGGGTTCCATTTGCAATTCCAAAAGTATCTCTCTTTAGCTGCTTAATTTCACATTGCATTGATGCCCTTACATTGTCAAATTGTATTTATTAGGCCAGATTATATTTAATTAAGTCATCTTCTATTTGAAAAAAAAAAAAAAAAAACAACACATCACCAAAACCTAATGAAGTAAGTTATAGGTTTACATAGCTGTGTGCTAATTTGAGTTCTTAATAATTTCTCTTCATTAATGACTAAAGACTTTTGGATGCTATTAAGCACCAAACTAGTGGTGGACATTTCAGAATCTTCTATATAATATCAAGTGGTAAAACAACAAAACCATTTTAGTGACTTAAGATACACAGTTATGATGTCTTCTGAAAAAGTGCTACATTAATCAGTCATTGCAAAGCATTAGTAATTTAGTATTAAATTAAATATGTAACACAAACCCAACTTTTTTACTTGTCAATAATTTCCATCTATTTCTTTCAATCTTGTAACCTATCTGATCAAGATTCAAACCAGATGAATAACCCAGTTTTTAAGTTTATATTTTCCCCTTCATAACGCGTAAAAATTGACTCATCTAGTCTTATGAATAGCTTATTCAGTTAGTATTTTCAAACAATACATGAGGTAAAAAGCTCTTTTGTTATATCAATGTTACTGTCCATCTGCATATTCAAATTCTATATTTTCATAAAATGCAATCTTAACCATTTTGTCATATAAAAATGTATCACGAGATTAATAAAATATCCCAGATTGTACAAGACTGCCTGTATGAAAAGTAAGACTTTCTCTTAAAACTAGGCAATATCACAAACCCATGTTTATTATGAAAATATGCAAAGACATTAATAGATTGTTTTCTTTTTGCTTTTTCATGTAGTTGAACTTCTTCATTCCTTCCTAAACAGTGACCATAGATTAATCAAATTCACTGTTGCCCATAATTTAACTCATTGTAACATGATATCCACATTCAGTTGGATATAAAATCTGAGAGTGATTACAATTTTATATACATATATTTTTAAAGCTTTTCAGTAACAGATAGTTCTTAGAGTGTTTTGGGACTTACAGAGAGCATTGCTAATTCAAACTTAACCTCAAATTTCTCAAGATACTGTGCAAGTCTTTGTATCTATGAAGTGGTATATTAATAAATTTCAACTGGTCCACTGAATCCAATTCTTCATTTTCTTCTCCCTCATTCTGGAACCTGACAATACAAATCTGACATTGATTTCAAAAAAGGGAAAAAAGTGTGCCACTTACAGTTCAGTTACATCTTTTGGGATGCCTTTAGGCAAAGCTTTTAGGCCTTTGTTGCTGCAGCGAACTACTGTGTCTAGACAAGTACATTCTGCAGGACAGCGAGACAGTGGAGAGCAGCTGTTGTCATCATTTCCTGGTGAATAAAAACAAACAGATGCTAAGCATGCTATAAAAATGTCACTCCAGTGTTAGCAATAATATTCCACCTAGAATTCCTATAAGCAAACGTGGTATTTCTACATTGTGATATCTCTAGGTAGGGAAAAGATTGTCATCTCTGTAACCCATTGCTCCAAGAATTTACATTTCAAGTCACTATTTAGTACAATGCTGTTTTACTAGGTAAAAATGCTATTATATGGAAAAAAAGATCATTAAAGAAAGAACAAGACCTAAAAGCGAAATATATGTTGATTTTCAAAATCAACACATTATTAAAAATAAACAGAGTTCCTTTAAAGAAAAGTTACAACCTTGAAAACTGACAAACTAATAATGCAATAAATGGAAGCATATGTGAAAGAGATGCAAGATAGCTGCCATTTTTGTAATTATTATGTGTTCAGGAAGTCACAAACTAAGCAAAATGCATGTTATTTGATCAAGTAACCTGAAAGAACGCTTGCTTCAGGCATCAGCATTTGAAAATATTCTCATTTGAACTACAATATTTGATAAATTTATTTAATTTTTATATTGTCTTTAAATTATGATTTATAGTACTCAACATAGGCAAGAAAAACTTTTGAAAGCATATATACAATAGCTGTGTGCTTGCTGATCATCTAAAAATGGGTGAAAGATTTTTAAACTGATGTAGAAACTGAGCGTGAAGCGCAGATAAAGTTATTTAAAGCATAACATTCTATGGGAATCATGCAGCTATACATATGAAAGCTGAAATTATAAAAAGTTCAGATATTAATTTTCTTACCATCATCGCATGTAAAGTCTTGAATTGCCACATCCTGGATAGGAATCTCTTTGAGGAAGTAGGGTTTTTGACAGCGAGGGTTCCCTGTCACAATGCGTTTCTTCCTTAGCCAGTCTCCAAGCCACGCGAGATGGCAGTTGCAGTTGAAGGGATTGGCCAAGAGGTTTCTGAGAACCACAGGAAAGTTTATTTCGGATGACACAATTTTTTCATCCTAAGTGTTCTATTTCTATTTTCAAAAAGCTAAGCTTAAATACCATTCTTCAAACAATACTATGTACAAACCATAGATGAAAGCTGTAATTTAGGCTCTGTGTGGTGAATCTTGATATAACTCGTTTAGAAATAATTTAAAACTGTCAAAGACCTGACTTGTTGTCAAGCCACTCTGTACTGATAATGCAATAATTTCATATAGAGATGAAGGCTGATTACTTTACATTATTAGCTTTAACCTGACAACAGCTATTCCATTAATTTGTCATCTCGAGATTTCCATCTTTTATTTGCTCCAGAGAATAAGTTTCCTATCTGAAGTGACAGCTAAGTTGATTACATGCCAGTTATAAAAATGAATTTACTCCTAGAAGTCTCAGTACTTTTGGCATCTCCTTACTTCAGCACAAACCTATCGACAACTCCATTATTTATAAACATGTCATCCTTAATATGCAAAAATTAGTCACTTTGCACATGCAAAGTGTCACTTTTTATGTAAAAAAGGTATTGAGTACTTTCCTGAATGATGCTACCTACAAAAAGCATTTCTTCATTAAACTGAGTAACAGCTTCACTCACCATTTTCCCTTCCCTTAAATTACATCACATTTAAATGAAAATAGGGATGCTTCTTTTTACATAAAATGAGGCTGAAGCTTCATTATAAAACATGTATGAATTAAGATCCTCAGTAGGTCGAGGAAATTTAAGAGAATAATTGGATGGCACAGGGCAGAAAGACAGACAACATGGTGATTTGACCAGCTGCGATCGTGTGATGTCTACCCAAAATGTGGCTTTCTACCCTGGCTCAGATCAGTGGGTTTCTGCGAGGGGGGCAAGCAGGACCTTATTTCTGCTTTCTCAGGCACTTCTGGAAACCAGTCTAATGCTGCATCAAAGGACACCATGAAAACATACTCTTCATGCATCCAAGATGGTCCAGAAAATAAACTTTCTCAAAAATCCCTCTATGAACTCTTTTTTCCCTTAATTTTACCTCACATTGTGAAATTACACAGTAAACCATTAACAGAAACGTCCCCAAAACATTAGAGGTTTAAATTTGTGTAAGGTATTAACATGAATGTGACTTACAAAGTAGAGAGCGAATGCAGTGTATCAAAGGAGCCAGGTGCCACGGTGGTGATCTGGTTGTCATACAGCGAGAGCAAGCGGACTGAGCTCAGGCCTGTGAAGCTGTCGTTTCCCACACAGCTCACGCGGTTGCTTCTCAGCATCCTGAGAAAGGAAGGGTCCACATTTCTTAGCTTAGCTCGAGCAGGGGCCAGAGCTGAAGTGGTGGTCTGAGCAAGAGCCAAGAGGTATGACTCCAAAGGGACTGCTACCAGTGGACGAACCACAAGTGCAGTGACTCCTGCGCCATGTGTCTCCTCACTGAAGGGACTGAGTGCAGTGTGTGTGGAGCGGACTCGAAAACAGAAAGATGGGTGGGTAGGTTTCACAGAGGCAAGGGGTGTTTCCCTTAAGCATTTGTGTTTTTTTTTCTTTCAGTACCAGAATCAGTAATTATGAATTTGTTACTTGACACTAAATTAAATTGATTGAAATTTCCCAAATCAGAGATACAGATGAGCCCCCTCTTCATGTTTCCAAGTCTAATGACTCCAGAACTGCTGTTTCCATGGAGCAGAAGGTTGTACCAGCTGACCTCCTACTGAGGCCCCTTCAACCTGAATTAGGATAAATTGTAGAAACCAATTCTACTACATTCTCAAGTGTTTCAATTAAATGAAATCAGGCTCCCCTGACTCCTCCTCAGCGTTACTATAAGATTTACTAAAAATTTCAGATTACTAAGCAAGAAACATCTATTCTAAAATCTCTTATATTTCTGTAAAACTTACGAGCTTTGAAGTTTACTGTTCTCCTATCTGTCCATCAATAAATGAATATTTTTTCCCCATGCTCTTGTCTAAGGATAGCTGCTCCTAATAATTTTAGCAGCTTTAAATGCAAAGTTAGAAATGATACGCCTGATTTATTAAAAACACCTAATGTCTATGGACAGTTGAAGCCCCAAGGACCATTTAATCTTGGCTGTGCTCTGCTGCTCAGAAGGACAGGCTCTCTGAAGAAGGCCAAGAAGCTGTGGATTGTATAAACATCTTTTTTTGATAGGAAACAGCTAAACAGTCTTCATGGAAAGAATGAAATGAGTTCAAGCTATAGTGCTTTTACTCGTCCCTGCACTGTTGAAATGACATTAAAATTACTTAGGAGAGAATCATTTCCCACATTTAAATATCCACCAGAATAATTTTTTCCTCTAGCAAAGTTCCCAGTAATGGTTGAGCTGAAATGAATCAGACTCCATTACGTAAAATGTGTAATTCCCATGCAAAATTCTGTTACTTTGAAGGAGATGATTATTCCCATTTCCATTTCTGCAGCTGGCTGTTTACCCATTCTCAAGTTCTTCATCATTTTAGAGGACTCATAATTTCTCTAGTCAAGTAGCCACAATGAAAAATTGCAGCTACATTATATTCATAATAAATAATTAATGAATTCATATAATATATGATAACTTTTTAAAAAATAGGAACAAAAACTAAGATATGCTTGAATAATCAATAGCTAATCCTCCAAAATCAATTTTTTTAGGACAGATAGAAATTACTTTAAAAAATACCTGGCAGAAAGGAAGAATAAAACCACCCAAATAATTACACTTACAGTGTTTTGAGACTTTCTAGTCCTTTGAACATTTTGTGTCGGACACTTTCCAAGCGGTTGCTAGTGAGCAATAGTTCATTCACGCCAGAGGCTCCATCAAACGCTCCTTCTTCGATATCTGTAATCTTGTTATTGCTCAGATTTCTATTACACATTAACAGAAACAGAGAAAAACATGTTTTCTTTTTTAAATACCCCAAATTAACTGTTAAATGCTGCAGGCTGCATAAATTTCAAGATACTGAGTTGTTGTGTAAAAGCAACAAATACATTGTTCAACTGCGAACCACTAAAAATTCAATGCCCTGCTAACTAAAGAAATAAAGATTTTTAAAAAGATCTTTGGAAGATATTTTTAAATAATAGCAATTAGCCAGTCTATGCCGCCACCACACGAGAACATCTTTTCATAATTTTGAATATGTCAGTATCTGTATATTTTTTTCATGTCTTCAGTCCTTGTAGCGTTATTAGACAAATTAATAACAAAATGATACTGTATGGATACCAGTGCAACTAACTACTACAATTTCATGTTGGTAGACACAAATATCAGAAAACAGTATAAACAGCAACATATGTAAATGAAAAGTCTGAATGTAAACAGTACATGAAATGTTAATAATTTATGACTAGTTAAAAAGGAGAGTTAATAACCAAGATAGTTCATTTATCTGCAATTCACACACAAAGCAATCAAAATGTAGGAATATGACCTAAAATATTCCCAAAATATTTAGTGTTTAAGGTTTTCAGTTGAAATATGGAAATTACATCCCAAATGGGTAGTATCTGTGCTATATATATAAGCATACATACTCAACATCACACATTTTTTGGAAGATTTTTCATGTTATACTTGCCTCCTTTTGTTTTGTTTTTTTCATATAACTATTTACACATATTACAGAACTACATATCTATACACTAAATAGTGTTATAATACACTAGTGATTTTTAAAAACTCTTAAAAATGCTCTGAGACAACGTAAAATAAAGGGATGTTAAAACCTTTTCACTTGATGGAATTAATGGTGTTGGGAGGAAAATCAAACATTATTTGATGCAACTTCTAGAAAAGCATTTTAATTGTTCAAATCAAGAAAGATACTATTTGTTAGGAAAAAAACCTCATCCACTTATCAGAATGAACTGGTGTCATTATCTAACACACAGAAAACAAGGAGTTGTGGCTTAATCTTGAGCGCTGACTACTCATCTCTAGCCTAACTGTAATTTAACATACACCTTGCCTGTGATGAAGGATACAATCACAGAATCGTTTAGCTTGGAAAGGACCTTTAAGATCATCAAGTCCAACTGTTAACCTAACACTGCCAAGTCCACTGCTAAACCATGTCTCTAAGCACGCCATCTACACATCTTTTAAATACCTCCAGGGGCAGTGACTCAACAACCACTTCCCTGGGCAGCCTGTTCCAATGCTTGACAACCCTTTCAGTCAAGAAATTTTTCCTAATATCCAATCTAAACCTTCCCAGGCACAACTTGAGGCCATTTCCTCTTGTCCTATTGCTTGTTACCTGGGAGAAGAGACTGACACTTACCTCGCTACAACCTCCTTTCAGGCAGTTGTAAAGAGTGATAGGTCTCCCCTGAGCCTCCTCTTCTCCAGGCTAAACAACCCCAGCTCCCTTAGCTGCTCCTCATAAGACTTGTACTCTAGACCCTTCACCAGCTTCGTTGCCCCTCTTTGGACTCACTCCAGCACTTCAGTGTCTTTCTTGGAGTGAGGGACCCAAAACTGAACACAGTATTCAAGGCGCAGCCTCACCAGTGCCGAGTACAGGGGGACGATCACTTCCCTAGTCCTGCTGGCCACACTATTCCTGATATAGGTCAGGATGCCATTGACTTTCTTGGTCACCTGGGCACACTGCTGGCTCATATTCAGCCGCCTGTCAACCAACACCCCCAGGTCCTTTTCTGCCAGGCAGCTTTCCTGCCACTTTTCCCCAAGCCTGTAGCACTGCATGGGGTTGTTATGACCCAAATGGAGGACCTGGCACTTGGCCTTGTTGAACCTCATACAATTGGCCTTGGCCCATCGATCCAGTTTGTCCAGACCCCTCTGTAGAGCCTTCCTACCCTCAAGCAGACTCTGTAGAGCCTTCCCACCCTCAAGCAGATCAACACTCCCGCCCCAGTTGGTGTCATCTGCAAACTTACTGAGGGTGCACTCTATCTCCTCATCCAGATCAGTGATAAATATATTAAACAGAACTGGCCCCAGAACTGAGCCCTGGGGAACACCACTTGTGACCAGCGGCCAACTGGATTTAACTCCATTTACCATCACCCTCTGGGCTCAGCCATCCAGCCAGTTTTTTACCCAGCAAAGCATCTGCCCGTCCAAGTCATGAGTAGCCAATTTCTCCAGCAGAATGCTGTGGGAAATAGTGTCAAAGGCTTTACTAAAGTCTAGGTAGACAATATCCACAATCATCGCTTTCATTTAGTTTCACAGTGGAGTTGTTCAGTCTCCTGTAAGGTGCACAAGACTGGAAGCAAGAAACTCATTATTTCTCAGCTGGCTTATCCATGTCAAGTCCTTAGTTTCCTAAAATCTTATTTGTTCCTGGTGTAACATGGAAACTCCTTAACCCATTTCACAGGGATATTTTAAGGATTAATGTTGCATAGCTAATCAATGATGCAGTGCATACACATGCTTTCTTACTGATGAACCATCAAATCAATTAGACATTCAGGCCCAAACTTTTCAATGCCATCTGTGCAGAAAGACCTTTGCACCTATTTGAACGTCTAGTAGAAATATGAGCTCCACAAAGATATAGAATTCACTTGTATTGGTGCTCTGTAACACCACCGACACACTGCTTTCCACTCATGCTTAACCAGTCACTGTATTATTCTTTGAATTGAAGAATGTTGTAACAATTGATAACTGTATTAGGAAGTTATGGAGCAGTATTATTAAAAATGTTAACTTTCCATTAACACTTTCTCAATTTTGTCCCTCCTCAATTGTCCAGATTTCAAAACTCTTGGGAGTTCCAGCACACAGCTACACTGAGACTTATTAATACTCCCTTTTCTTTCTTTCATCTTGAACGCCTCCTTAACTAAAAAGCAGCAAACTAGCTTCAGATGACATGAAATGTTTACTAAGCTACCTTTATAGCATGAAAATATGTAATTACTGACAGTATATTCCCTTTTCCCTGTTTTTCTTAAATATGAACTGATATGCATGCATGTGTGTGTGTGCATGTGTAAGTATGCCACATCAAGTATTTTATTTATTTCAAAGGCACTCTGTAGCTGTAAAAAGTGCTAATCTGAGATCCTTGAGGAATGAAGAAAACAGGTTATCTACTGTATAGCACCAGAACACTGCTGTGCCAGACATTCCTACGTTCTTTTTTTTAAGTATCTCAGCCCAATCCAAAGTAGCAAGATGTACAGAAGTGGAAAGGTCAAAAGCAAAGTTTTGTTTGCTTGTTTGTTTTATGGTTTTTTTTGTTTGTTTGTTTGTTTGCTTGCTTGCTTGTTTTTTAATTTTTGTCTACTAACTAAAAAAATCAGTAATAAGTATTTAACTAATTGTGATCATGACAGCTGCCAGCAAGGATCTGGATAAGGCTAACAATAGTTTAAGTAATACTATTGCTTCCTATGAGATTTTGGTCACTAGTAATTTAGACTGATTTACAAGTGGTAGTAACTTGTTGACTACAAATCAGTGCATCATTTTCATTAATCTGATCTATTTTATTTTCATTTTTCTTCACTTACTATTTATGTTTGGATTTAATCCTGAAAAGATTGAGCACAGAGTCACTAAGTCTAACTAAATGATCTACCCTCAAATATACCTTTTACATAAGCGAAAGAAAAACTTTTTTTAGATTTATTTTTAGGAACAACTGCAACTGGTAAGATTATAAACTCCTCTTAGAACATGAAGTGTAAACAGGGACTTACGTGGATGAGCTATCAAACCATTTTTTTCTCAGTCATTTAATTTTGATATTCCCCTCATATAATGACAGCTTAATGAAGCACAGAATCAAAGACATGTCTTGAATGTGCTGTAAGGGGCAAAATTGCCTGGTTAGGGAGTAGTACAGGAAGTTACAAAAGACTACTGGCATCTTTTTTGAGCAACTTATACTGTGAGCTCCCTGATGTGGCTGCATAACCGACCAGCTGGTTGGCTGGACACTGCAGTGATGGTGCCGGACAGAGTTTGTTGCTGGCAGTGCCTAGTCCCATAGAGAAAAGCTGCCAACTCTGATTTACCTCAGTGATTAATTTAAACCCATTCTTGAATTTTGATTGGAATATACTGAATCTTCTATAGATAAGACCTAAGAAAGGTGGAGAAACACAGCAAGGAGCTAATGTGCTAACTGAATAGACAAGGTCACTGAAGTTGCACTTACATTTTACGCAGCTGAGGAAGTTTCTTAAAGATTCCAGTAGCTTCCAGGACTGAAAATTCATTGTTATTTAGTCGCCTACAAGAAATGACATCAATTTCAGAAAAAAATATTCAGGCATTAGTATAGAATTTTCCATACTAAGTGAACTTTTCCAACTGGTTTAACTGAATAGCTGGTGTTTAACTGGTAGCTGAAGAACAATTCCATATATACTGACATTTCTAATTCTGATAATTCCTGTGAATGAACATTCTCAGTAATTAAACTTAGGCATACGTAACATATACAGAATCAAAACCAGATCACAAAATATCGTACAACTAATACTACAGAGAAACATAAGATGTTTTTAATTTTTCTTTTAAGGGAAGAAAATAAAAAATGTAACTAAGGAAGGATTCCATGGCAACTTATAAATAAAAATCTTTAAAAAGTACATATAAACCACTGAAGATTAGTTTAGTTCTTTAAAGGATATCAGGTGGGGTCTGCCAGACATCTGGACGTCCTCACAGAACAAGATTTACAAGAATGAAATAATTATTTATGCTCAATGCTTCTTTTCAATAGGGACTGAAACACACTGCATAGGTCTTCCCAAGAATTTAAAAACACTTCTCTGACCATGGTTTATCTTCAGATCACTACACCTAACACATATATTGTGTAAGGAAGCATTAAATGCTGATTTGTAACACTACAAGAAGGTATATAATGAGTGACAAATACTAGCTGGATACTGATCTTTCCTGCCCAGGTATCAGGGCTGTTCCAGCATAGTATACCCTTAGCAGCTGCTAGGTTAGGGGACCATCTATACTTCAAGAAATATCTGCACTGACCCAGTATTCCCTGTTTCCTCTCTTGAAAAGAAAAGGAAATTATGAGTCTTAGATTCTTTGTATGTTTTAATGGAGTCATCTTATTAAGGAAGGGAGTTTGTCCAGCTTTTAATAGAGATCTTAAATAGGAAGGAAAAGAGATGACTGGCAAGATCACCATGAAATGAAATTCAGCATAATTCTAAACCCAGAATGCTTTTCAGAATTGCCTTATTGGAAGACAAGATTAGAAAAACATAGAAAATAAAAGCAAGCTGCTCATTCATCCTTCCTTCCTGCTCATTCTCAATGATAGCCAGAAGGGAAATTAAGGTTGTAAATCTGAAGGTATGGCTGTACAATAGTTTCAGCACGGAACCAAACTGAGAGAACACAGGAAGTTTTTTGGATATACACAGAACATTTGTATACCACACTGAAGTACAAGGAACATGAATTTCAAAAGATGTTACCACCTCTGAAAATCAGCTGAATGACTTAATGTGATTTTTAGTGGGACCATATCAAATTTATTTTTGCACAGTGTCAATTAACAAAGTTACTTCATCATTGTTCAACAGTATTTTCTTCCCTGTGCATCAACAACAGAACGATCAAGCGTTCCAAAAATGCTGACATTTTCAAATACTTTTCAAGTGCTATATCATCTAGTAGAATGACTTGTTTATGAAAATATTTATTGATTCTAACAACAGTTTCCTGATGTGCTCTACTGCAACGATTTCTAACTCCATTGAAAAAGGTGAACAATTTGGTCCTTTCTTCTTTGCAACAATCTTTTGTATATTAAAAATAATTTACTTTGTCTCTCCCTTAAGTATCTTTCATACAAATGCATTCAATCTTTTCAGTTTTTCCTCAGAAGTCTTTTCTAGATGATTTTTGTTCTCCTTGAAATTTTTCCCAAGTGATCCATATCTATCTTGAAAAGTGAAGTCCTTGACACAGTATTCCAGCTGATAATTCACTATTGGTATGTACAGTAAACCAATTATTTCATATAACTTACATACAGTACTCCTGTACATACATCCCAAAATTAAATTGTGTGCCAAAATAGGAGTGCCCAATGGCACTCCTTCATCTTTAATACATGTGGCAACACTACCATAGCATTTTATCTTGAACTGCTTCCTGGTTATTCCTCAATCTTGTATTTGTGGTGCTAATTAGTCCTACCTAATGTCATATGTAGAATTTGAATTTTTATTTTATTTAAACTAGTCTTAGTCTACTATCAATATTACAGAACAATTTTAGGATTTTTTCCATGTGTTTTGAAGATTTTCAGTGTTTGAGAAGTTTCTCTATGACGTAAAAGAAGCATGGGTTGAATCACTGTACCTGGTTTGGTTAAAACTGTAGCACAAATCATATCTTCTCTCTAACTTTGTGTATATGGTGATATCACAAATCGTGCATCATCACTGAGGATATATCTACAAATAAAGGGACATCAAGTTACAAATTATGGATTTGTGGTCAGAGCAATGACCACATAGATCACATGGTATTTCTATGGTTGGAGATTGCTGGCTTGAGATCCTTTAGATCTGTAATTGTTAAATAAAGTTTTCATTATATTATCATGGTAAGTGATACCACACACAATGGAATAAAAATTATTACAGATGACTGGAAAATCAACAGATGTGGTGCTGTCTTCCTTCTGGATCTTAATATCACTATTTTTCGAGACCAGTGCTCTTCACTGGTACAGACAATAATGATGACAGTTGTTACCTGTCAATCACAGGATCATGAAAATGATCTTAAAAATACTTGTATCTGGTTTATTCAAAGAAAAGCACTGAAATGTCATTCTCAAAACAAAAAAGTAAACAAAGAAGCATTTGATGATGTCTAAATATTCTGTTTCTGTTTTATTTAATGCTTTTTCCTGTTTTATTAACACAATGGGTAAGATATTTGCATGTTTTGGTACAATAGCTGAACCCTCCTGGAAGGCTATGTACTGCAATGATATTCACATTTTCAATAACTGTCTTGTTAGGATCTGGTATTATATCAGTTATTGTAAAATCATTACAAAAATTGAACATATAAGACTGAAATTGTTTTTATTTAGCATTCTTCCTGGGGACTCTGGTTTGAGTGATTTATCAAATGCTTCCTGAATTTTCCTATATGTTAGAATGTTGAAAAATATTTTATTTCTAGGGTACATTTACAGGCTTGTACTTTATCTCAAATACTTCAGTGCCAGATTAGACGGATCTTTCACTGGTTTTTTGGAAGACTGTGAGCAAGTGACAAAATAGAAACAGAACAGCACTTGGCTCATTTATAAATTTTTTCACCTTTTATAGTTAAGTATCTGTCTTGAATTGTATTATAATTTTCAGATTTTTTTAAAAACAAGTATTCTGAAGAAATAGTTTTTTTGTTGTGGTATTATTACTGTTGCAATCTACACAGTTGGTACTCTTTTCCTCACTTTTGATCTTTGTTTCCAAGCTGAATCTCAGCGCCAAATATACCCTGCGGAAAATAATTTAGCCTTCCTCATCACTGTTATAGAAGCATCAATGTCATTTGACTCTAACAAGTATCTTTATCTCAAATTTGGTGGGTAAAAGAAAAGAACGGCTAATTAGCTGCTCTTCTTGTATATGCCAGTAAATGTTGTTAACTGAAATAGAATCATAGAATCATAGAATCATTATGGTTGGAAGAGACCTCAAAGATCATCAAGTCCAACTGTATACCTGATACAACCACGCCCGTTAAACCCACTAAACCATGTCTTGAAGCACCACATCTAAACGTTTTTTGAATACCTCCAGGGATGGTGACTCCACCACCTCCCCGGGGAGCCTGTTCCAATGCCAAACAACTCTAACAGTGAAGAAGTTCTTTCTAATGTCGAGCCTGAACCTCCCCTGGCGCAACTTGAGACCGTTTCCTCTTGTCCTATCGCTAGTTACCGGGGAGAAGAGACCAACCCCCACCTCGCTACAACCTCCTTTCAGGTAGTTGTGGAGGGCGATAAGGTCTCCCCTCAGCCTCCTCTTCTCCAGACTAAACAACCCCAGCTCCCTCAGCCACTCCTCATAAGCCTTGTTCTCCAGGCCCTTCACCAGCTTTGTTCCGCTTCTCTGGGCACACTCCAGCAGCTCAATGTCCTTCTTGTAGTGAGGGGCCCAAAACTGAACACAGTATTCGAGGTGTGGCCTCACCAGCGCTAAGTACAAAGGGATGATCACTTCTCTATCACAGAGTGGCCCTGGAACTAGACTGGGAAGTCCCAAGAAGAGCCACAAAGTCAGTGTATCAAAGATCAGGAATAACAGGAGGAAAGAAGAGAAAGAGCTGCAACTTTTGCATCAGTGAGGCAAATGCCAGAAGAGTGGACTTAGCTAGAGCAACTGGATATTTAGAGGAAGTTAAAAAATGCAGAAATAATTCCTCTATCCCCTCTAGAATACTTGCAAGAATCTTGAAATTTTTATTACATCAAAAGACTTGAAGAACAATCTGTACAGTTTATCAAGAAGAAGGTTGAATAGTGACTTTGTTACAATTTAAGACCATCTTACTTGGATAAATTGCTAGATAGAAAAGGGCTCTTTAATGGCAAAAAATATAAAAGAAGCAAGGATGGAAACTGAAAAGAGGCAGATTCCATCTGGAAGTAAAAGTTTCCATTTTAAAAGATTTTAACAGAAGTGAAGGGAGACTGTTAACTTCTCTAACACTCTCCGGGAAATGGTGGATTTTTAATCCACTGATACCTTCAAACAAGACTGGATGTTTTCTGAAAGAAGTGCTGTAACCAAACATGAATTACGTTTTAGTCAAACACAATTTTTTTTGTTGACTGAAATTTGAGAGATCAGGATACACAGCAGATGAAGCTTGATGATTTAATTGTTTCTTCTGAATTTAATATGTATGATTCACAATTATAGAAAGAAAACACTTGACAGTTTATCTTCCACATGTAAATAAATGAATATGAAAACCAACAATTAAAATACTAAATTAAAATTATTATTTCTTCAGGGCAGAGAGAATTAAACATGAATCCTGCTAAGAATCAAGACAATGCATGCTTGTCACTTCAACAACTCCATTTCTCATCTCTTAGTTCAGAAACTATGAGTTTTACAACCATCACTTTATGACCTGCTCCTGCATTTTAACCTGTTATCCATTCCATCAGTTTTTATTCTTCAAGTTAAGGAATTTTGTCTCAAAGTATTATAGCATAACAAAAAATATATTTCTCCACTGAAATCTCCCTCCTTTTACCCAAGACTCTGTATTAATTTTTCCTTCTCCGGCACTACTTTATGACAATAAATCAACAGTGTGAACACAGCCAAAAGCTGAGCTTTGCTTTTCCCACATATGCCACTTTTTCGATTGAATTTGCCATCATTCTGGGCACAACTTCAATTACCATTCAGATTTGTAATTAGAACATCACTAAGTTCAACTCCTCCCAGCTCAGAGACAGACAAAAATCTCCATCTGTATTTACACAATATTTCAGTTTCAAATTCCTTTTCTTGTCCAGATATTCAAAATCCTTAACCATCGTCTCATTATTTCATACCTTCACTGCTGTACTGTTGCTTCGATGCCAGCTTCAGACTGATTATCTTTTAAGAGATGTGCCATACTGTTGCTCATCTCACCTTTGTGGGTCATGACTTTATCACAGCACTCCTGTCTCCACATCTCTGTCCCCGCTTTACTACATCAAATCAAAATCGCTCTCTTTTGTCCCTAAACATTCTGCCTTGTTCTTTAAACTGAATCCCCTGGGAAAACCAGCTATTTCCTCCCACCTTTGCTCTGCCAATGTTGGCTACTTTCATCTCCTGCCTTTCTGCTGATCCTTCAAGAGTCTCTGCATTCCCTTTCATGCTATGCTTTGTACATGGGAAAACCTTGTAAAGCTGTCTTAATTTTATCTTTGAATCTCTCCTTGAAGACCACTTCTGTTGTAATGCCTACAAATCATTCCCATATGGCACTTATTAAGCAAGTAATAATCTGTGACTTCTTTTCTGCTCATCTCTGTTCATTATATTATTATCTCATCTTCTTAACCCAACTCTGTCTTGTTTGTCTGCTTTATCTTCCTCTGGTCTCCTGCCTGACACACATAACGTGTGCTTTGCATAAGAAGCATCAGCTCTGTTTTATTAAACACCTAGGGAACACTTTTTTTAAGACAGACCTCTGGTTACCGGATGTCCTACGTTCTCTTGTAGATAAAATAAAAGGCAAAATAAACCCCACTATCTTTCAAAAAATCCAAGTGGGTAGCTCATATACTGGAGAACTAGAAACACAGAAGAGTTACTTTATTTATTTATCATAAATTTTTAAGGCTACATGGTACTGCAATGATGCATAAATAATTTTTATTAATATCTAGTCCTTTGAACTGCACCACAGAGGTTACATTTAATTTTTGTTGTTTAAAAAAGTAAAGCTGTGGGTTTCTATTTTAAAATTTTAGTTATTTTTTCCAGAAGCAAATAATGCTTTATTATGGGTTCAACTTACAACTCTGCTGTGTACTGGGGGATGTGATCAGGAATTTTGTTGAGTTTCTGATTGGAGCAGTCCACTGTGGTCCCCTCACAGCGACATTTCTCAGGGCAAGCCAAATCTGCAAAGCAGTCTCCACTTAATTTGGATCTGTAATCTTCAGTGCCTGTGGACGAGTCAAGTCAAAATACAGATACTGAGTCAATAAAGTACAAGATTTGCTTCTTGTGAGAAGGTTGAAAAGATGTCTGCAATGCAGATAACGGGTGGGCAACTTGGGAAATGTATGATAAACTTTGTGATACTGAACAGACACAAGGGCTTCAAGAGAGGGTTAAATACAGGGGCTTAAGATATGCTGGAAAAAGAAACTGTGACCAACTTCACATAACAGGATAACATTAACTTGAGCTTTTCACAGCTGTACTTTCTGCTGATTATGTTGTCAGCCAATCTAGCCTTGTTTATAGCTAATCACACAAATGCCACTAATTCTTTTAGAATTTATTGTCTTTCTCTGTATCAAGAATAAATAGATCCTGAATGCCACCTTTTTGCTTTCTCTTGTTACAAATTTGTATTGTTGACTGGACTTCATTAACCTCTGTGATTTTTTTTTTATAGTCCCGATACTCCATATCATCTCAAACACATAAGATTGAAAGCCCTGTTTTCAGCTTTAATTTAAAAAATGTGTGATCCTGACTTAAGCCTCAGCAGCTTGCCATGCTGTAGAAAGCTGCGTGACGTTCCATGGTGCTTGACAGAACCATGTTTTACTCATACCTCACAACCACATGGTTAGATCAAGCACAACAGAAAATCTCGCTACATTATCAAAACTGCATCCATTAGGCCAAGGATAAGAGCAAGGGAAAAGAGGAAGGAGTAGGTATAAGTTACAGAAGCATTTGAAGTTTAATATTTGCTTACATGACATGGCATTCTTATTACTGAATGTCCAGTGCCACAGTAACAGTATTACTGTCACAGATCAAATAAAAAAAAAAAAAAAAAAGAACCACATTGAAAGTTTCCTCCACCATTTCCCAGAGTCAGTCAAAGAAAACATTCTAAACATATCAGGAGAAAACATCCAGTAAGGAACTGAGGGTGGGTGACAAAGGAAACAAAGAGAAGCTGAAAGGACCTGTGGGTTCTTCTTGGACAAAGGTGGAAAGACTGAGACTAGTAGAAGGTGCATCAGGGCTGGGAGGTACATTGTGATTTAGCTCAGACACTGAACTTTACTTACAGCCAAAATGGTGAACTCCTGCAAAAGTAAAGATAGCCAAGAAGGAAAGAAAGACAGAGTAATCCCAATTAAGACAAAAATATGAACTAAGCTCTCATGTTGTCTACGCAACTTTAGTTTGACTAGAAGATGTTGCTAAGGGGTACTGTCTTCAGCAGAGACAAAGAATAATTCATTTTAAGTGGCATTAAAAAATGAAGACAAGATTGGGGTTAATTACAGATTTCATATAGGATGATAATGCCTCCCATGCAATTTTCTTCACTATTTAAAATGTATTCTTTAAAAGCTGCTCCCTTGAATGCTATACATGCTATGCCACTTAAAACCCTAATAAACCTAAGAAACATAGGACAAACAGATTCCTCAGGGGAGGAAAACAAACCAACCCAACAGTCATCACATATTATGTTATCTACTGTTTGTATTTGTCTAAGTAACCCATATGATATAACTATGTGGAATATTTCTATGAGCTAGCAGACAAATGATTTTTTACCAAGTTAATGATTTAATACTTGTGTAACCTTTAGTCTTCCAAATGACGACAATGAAATTCTGCTAAGACTTCCTAGTGTGTGCAGAGCAAGATCTTCCAATGACATATTTAAAATAAATATAAAAAAAATTTAAGTTTTTAAAGAAGTGCTAACATTTTTACAGTATTTAGTGAAGTGTAAAGAAGTGGGTTTAGCACTTTTAAATACCACGGCTACAGATACATGTTTTTCCTCCTGTGTCCAGAGTAAATCACTGTTAGCAGTTTAAAGTAAAGAACTAAAATATTCAGGGACAAGATCTTCAACAACTAAAATAATTTTATGCAGCATCTCCCTGATAACCTGATAGAAGGAGAAGCACAGAAGCTCTATTTCAAGAAGCAAGTCTGTAGCACTTTGGGATATATTTTTTTTCCCCAGGAATAGCATTTTTAAAAGGGCATATAAACAAAACTAAACTACATGTGTGGCCATATAATATGGCCTCAAAACAGGCTGTGAAGACATTTGCTGGCAAGAAAACACTTCTAACTCAGAGACAAAAGTTGCACTGGCAAGGTTGAGTAGAAGTCACTCAGTGGCAGGAATACAGCTGTTCGACCCATTATGGAATTGAGTGGTACTACAGGTTTGAGAAATTGAGCCCCCCTCTGTTTTATGCTGCTTTATGCTGCTTTAAAACACATTTTCATGGCTGCCAATGCTGACAAATGGCTGCCTTATTTTGTATTTCATTTTGTCTTTTCTTCATATTCAAACCAACATATTAGTATGAGCGCATGAAGAACTTCACATGATTGCTGCAAATTTAAGTTATACATCACACAGCATTAGGAGAAGAGCTGTTAAACATACCAGCTTAAAAGACAAAGGCTAAGACCACTGCAGAATGACAATATACTTGAAAGAACAAGTGCACTGGTGTCATAATCAATTATTGTAGATATTTTTCCAGATATTAAAGTATGGCAGAAAACCCTGCTTGCAGATCACATACTGTAATTCATCAATAGATTAATTATTCACTTGTTTATTTTGCCAATCAGTCATCTGTAATCTATTAGGAACACAATACAAGTGCATCATTTTTTTTTTCTATTAAGAAATCAGTGCACATACCTGACAAGCAAGGTAAAATAAATAAAGAAACATATTTCAAAGAGCTAGGGCCAACATTAGTAAATATTTTGTGAAAATATCATAGACTTCTTGTAGCTTAAAGTGGTGTGTGAATTGCTGTTTCACCGCAACTCTAAAGTCGTATTTTCTTTAATGGAAAGCATTTCTGATTCATTGTACGCGTGTGACCACAGAATGCCTTTAATGAAGAGTATCAGCTTTCTTTTTCAAGCATTCCACTGTGATTTTGTAAACACAAGGAGGGTGAGCAAGCAGTAGCTGCAGCCAGTGTAGAACATGAAAGCAAGGCAAGAAAATGTTCATTTGTAAGATGCTTATTTTTTTAAAGTTGTACTAGCTCTTTGACGGTAGTATGGTTTCCTGTGTTTAAAAGCAGCTCAGGAGCTACATTTTAAAAACAGTAGTGGCAGAAAGGCAAGGTACAAGCTAAGTAAAGGTGTCAATTGAAATACGAACTAGCAGGTGCAACCTTCTAAACAATTTAACTAGAGGTATAATTTTGGTACGTTGTGTGCAAATTTGTGAGACAAAAAATAGTAAATGGAGCTGCATGCTAAGCTCTTCTATTCAGAAAACAAATACTAGTAATCTACAAAGGAAAACTATGTCTAGCTACAAGTATTGACTAATGTTAATACACATGCATCAGTTTCCTAAAAGCTATAACAAACTTTGCTTTTTGGGGTAAAGAGAGAGAGTATCTGCAGTTAGTCAATCTTACTGCAGAGCCAAACCTACCTGGAATGAAATACTGTTCTTTAGCTAAATAAAGAGAAAAAGAAGATGCACCTGAATGTCAGCAAGCAAAGAATGAGTTTTATTAGATTAAGTATGGACTACAGTTAAACTACAGATAATTAAGTGAAAAAATGTGTATTCACAATGAAAGCTGATAAACAACAAGGTGTGAATAGTCATAAATGTATCCGGAATGTGGATAACAAACAGTTCTCATCTGGTATTTGCGCTTAAGACTGAATCAATTGTAGAATGTAAAATGCACCTGGAACAGCTGGATACCATATGACAAAAGTTAAGATTTAGAGAAATGTAAGTAGGAAATGGAATAAGATTAGAAAAAGAAAACAGTAAATTTCAGTATGAGGTAAGCCCCCTGTATAAAATGAATATGTCATGTTTCCACATCTAGCTAGAAATTTTTAGATCTTTCACATACTCCAGAGCCTTGTAGAAATTTTAAAAATGATTTATGTTGGTCATACTTGTAGTGAATAACTTCAGCATTTCATTCTGAAATATTATATATTGCATTTCTTTTGTTAGATTTAATGCTACTCAGAAATATTGCCAAATGTGTTAAGTATAGTAATGTTCTGTGATCCAAGAGTCTATGACTTCCATGATTTCCCCCCTTCAGTCAAAGAAGTAAAAAAGATTCTGCAACGTTTAATAACTCCATAGAGAGCCAGCTGCCTTCATTAGAACTTCTACAACCACTGTTTTTGCCAATAAAAGAAAAACAGCAGCTGAACTAAGAAAATTACCTGAGCAGCGGAATTTCTTGCTTTTGATCTGGCCGATCCTTTTGTTTGCCAGACGGCGGGGGCTGGTGCAACGGGCACCACTGGTCTCAATGGGGTTTGTATGAAGATAATCCGCCAGCCACTTCAGATGGCAGTCACAGATAAATGGGTTCTGAGCCAAATGCCTTTCATGAAGAAAAAAATGGTAATTTCACACATTATTTCCTTTTGGTCTCAGCAGTTCCCGGTATTTTTAGCACACTGTAGAATACGAAGTCATACTAAAGACAACTATAGACAAGAGCATACGTACAAGGTCTGAATTGCACGTAGGGGTGAGAAGGTGCCTTTTGCAATGGTCTGAAGCTTGTTGTCATACAAAGAAAGAAGATTCAAGTTGTGCAGATCTTGAAAAGCATCAACTCGCAGGCAATTGATCTTGTTGGCATTCAATAATCTGTTTAATGGAAGACAATTATAAAATTGAAAGAATTCACTCAGTGTCCCTGCAGCTTCAGCATTTTTCACAGATAAATCTTTGTGTGCATTTGTAACCAGAACAAGAGATGTAGTAACAAGTATTAATTGACAGTGACATAAGTCATTTCAGTGAATTAAAGTATCTTATTAAAGTGATCTGAAATGACTCCTAAGTATTTGCACTTTGGAGTTGAAATGTATGGGTTTATTCAGCTAAAACCACATTTCTTCTATGTGCTGGTAGAATGTGTGTGTGTGTGTGTGGTATTTGTCTGTGCAAAGAAACAAGCTTATAAAATCAAGTATCTGCAAGGAAAACTAGTTCCTTTTGCCAAACAAATAAACAAACAAAAAGGAACTGAACACTGTGTTCATTAGCTGGAAGAGATGTGCAGTGGCACTTTTAATTATATGTTACTAATCAGCATGCTGCCACATTAACAGAGTTGTAGTAAAAACTGGTGGCATGGAATATATCCAAATCTGTCTTGGATCCTTTTTCCTCTCCATCTTCAAAGGAAACCTTTTCTTCCCTCTACCTCCCAGACTTCTAAAGTTAAAACAAACAAGCCAATCTAAACCAACTTCTTCATGCTTTTGAAGAGAAAAAAAAAAAATGTCATTCAACTAGATACATTTTTATAACCAAATTTTTTTTTCCCATTTCCAGCCTGGAATGGAATGACATAGTGGATTTGAAAACCAATGCTCTGATAAAAAGTTTCACCACACAAGTAGAAATTTACTTAGACTGAAATGTATTGTCTACACAAAGTATATCAAGCTATGGACTTTTTTTTAAATACAGAATAAACAGAAGTTCAGAGATGTCTCTTCCCTTATTTACAAAAAATCTGAAATATGTTTTTATAACTAAAATCTCTTTAAAGGAAAACAGGAATACATAACTTCCCACTACTATACTAGTTTGTAACTAAAATAAATCAAAATGTAAACCTCTAGGTGGTGCTAGAACTTGCATTTTCTTTGTGTTTACTTACTGTTTCGCCATCTTCAATGAGTTGTTAATAACAGACATTTTGCCCATTGCTACACTATGAAGTCTAGACATGAAATACTTGTAATCAAGTGGGAAGAAGTTTTAAATTCTTTAAGAAGAAGCTTTAAATCAACAATTCTGGGGCAATTTCTTCCAAAAACACCACCGTGATTTATGGCCTATTTCACAAATTTCTTTTACACAATATAGCTAGTGCACAGCCTCTTCTGCTAAATATTGACACTATTTCATAAACTTACCACATATGAATGTATCACCAAGTGATATCAACATATCACTTCATTATTCCCAGTATTAATAGAAATGGTTTCTAAGATTACATGTGGAAATTTCCAAAGTGTTAAATGAAATAGCAACTGGAGTTCACAGAGTCAAAGAATTGTACAGAGAAGAGTTTTCAGAGAACATTAAAAGTCATCAATGAAACTGTACTGCAACTCTGTTCTTCCATGGGTACAACTAGAAATACAATTACATAGCATTTCCACTACGTATTTTCTTTATATAAAACACACAAATATTCCTTCTACAGTTCCCACACAACTTTATTGTCTGGGAACAACTATTTGCTGTTTACAGGGCAAGACACTATCATATCTTATGTGTTTTACCCTTATAAATTCCACATAAGAGAATAGTTTCATGTAATCATTTTAGGCTGACACATTAACTGAGATATGATTAAATTTGTAGATGAATGGCAAGCTGGCCTACAACAGTCTTGACTCCTTTGGCTTTAACATAATTTGATTTTATTATACTCTGATCTTACATACAGGATTTTCTGCCAGTTCTTCTCCAGGCGTAAATCTCTCATCATGTTTACCCTTCTGAGTTATCCCAAAATAGAATAAATATTAACAAAATACTCACAGCAATTGCAGAGAAAAGAGTCCCTCAAATAGACCCTTTGGAAGTTCTGTAATTTTATTGCCATAGAGGACACTGTACCAGGAAATAAGAAAGCAAAGAAAGTTGCCATTATGAAAGGCATATATGATGAGATTTTGACTTTAAAAATAGAGAAATTTCCATTTTCCATAAGGGAATTTAACAGCAATAACTTGGTACTTGCAAGATCCTTGTGGTCCTGTGAGGTAGCAGGATCACACGTTTTCCCAAAAGGTGTGTTGCCCAAAGAGCTCTCAGTAGAGTCAGCACCTCACTGCTTACAGCCTTACACAGGCACCTTGGTAAGTGGATTTGCTGTTTGTAAGAACAACTAACTAGGGCATAACAGAAATGTTTGATTTTGTTCAACTCTTTGCAATGAATGTACTTACAAAAAACCCATACATTTTTAGTGCCCAGCTGTGACACAATATTCAGTTATCACTCTAACATTCTGAAATTATTTTTACACCTTTCAGAATTGATCGAATTTATACAAAAATTCTGCAGGGAGCCAAGAATCCAAAATAATTTCACTATAAGAATATGAGAAATTTCCTTCTGTTTTTACAGGTCAAACAGATACCTACAGTGAATTGAGTGAACGTAAGCCCTGGAAAGCATCTGGAGCTGCTTCAGAGATCTGGTTATTGCTCAGGTCACTGAAATAAATGACATTTGAGTCAATAAATTCAAGCTATTTTCAAAATAGCAAACATTAAAGTAATAGGTAATTAGAATTAGGCATGGAAGGGAGAGAGAAATTAAGATATTCACATCAGATACTGCCAAAGAATTTTAATACAAAACCACTAAAATTGCCAGTACACTGAAACAACATGCATGGTTAGAAATAGACCTTTCCAATGCTTGAAAAAAAAATTACAAAAATGTTTACTTTTCCTAATTGCATAAGTACATTTTATAAAGAAATCTCTGTTTGCTATGACCACAGGACTATACAGTCTATGTCAAAGATATTCTGAAATAACAGTGGCTTATCACATTAATTTCTTTTCTTTATAGAATATTCAGTACAGTAACATACTGCTTCTATGCAGAACCGTATCAAATAATTTCAATACTTGTTAAAAACCAATGATTAGTAATGTGACAAAGAGACTATATGGTCTTAATAATCAGGCTGTCATATCAGTTAATCTTCCAGCAGTCAAACTTTCTTAAATGCTCACACATTGTCTGCAGTTCCTCTGTATGACCTTGACTTGTTTTTTATTTTTATACATATATTTGTATATATGTGTGTGTGTATATGTGAAAATAAATAAACACATCTAAATTATTGGGTACGTACATTCTTCGAAGCTTTTTATATGGTGAGAAAGCTCCAGGAGGTATGACCTTGATTGAATTTTGTTCTAACCGTCTGCAAAAGAATAGCAACAACATAAAAATACAAAACCCAAGCCAAACAGCAATCCAAAACCATAACAAACTAAAAGGGATAAACTTTAACAAAGAAGGCTGCTTTTGTTTTCTTTTTCAGTATAATTTTTATCCTGAGAAACAAGGTAATTTCAGTTTTCATTACAAAAAATAAGTTTTTGTCTGTAAAATCAACCTTTTAACCTATAGAGTTTAATGTTGTAAAGTAAAACCCAATCTTGATTTTGTATCTAAAGAAAACTTATTTTCAGAGCACACAAGACTTTTGTAAAATTTAAGCTAGAATTGTCATTAAAAAATTCAAACTTGAGTTAGTGTTAATTAACTCCCAATGTATTATTCACATACAGCAATTTTTATAGTAAGTTTTATTTAGAAATGTCTAAAGAGTTCTGTGAGTTAATCATTGAAATACACAAACCATAGGAAAGGCGACGGGAATGTTCCTACAGAACAAATAACATATGTTGCTACCTGCAATAAGGTAAATGCTGTATTTTTAAACATGCATACATGATTTCTTTAGGTACAGCAACACATTTTCGTTAGGATATAATGGTAGGATTGCACAGCCACACTTCTAACTTCTTTAAACATGTATTTTAATCTAAAATCGTAGTTTATGTTACTGGCCACATTTGCTTTGTATGTATGGTGACTGTGACTGAAACTTGCCATACTGCAAAGTGTGAATTTGCGGATGGAAAGAGTTTTCCAATAATTTTTTGAACTTCCAAAGCTTTGCATATGGGAAATCTATGCTGATACAGATCTATGGCCCACTTGGCAACAAGTCAAAACAGATTCAGCAATAAGCACGTTTAAAACAGAAGTTACTTCTTCACACACATCAGTATTTCATGGTTATGACAGTGCAAAAATTTCTATTACGTAGACATAAGGAATGAAACTATTTATACTAAGAAGTACAACAGGAAAAGGCAGTGTTATTCGAACTACATACCATGCTTATCTAATAAGCTTTCTACTTCTCTCTTTCATGCACAGGTATCAACTGTTACTATGATCTATGTACATAGAGACAATGCCAAAAATCTATTTCATATAAGAAATCAAAATTTTGTAGAATATACTGTATTATTTTAAATTACTTGGACATTGACTCAGAATCTAAGGTCAAAAACCCTTTTTAAATCTAGATGCAGGAATATTAGCCTATATTTTGCCTTTTACCCTCATCCTATTAACTCCTTTCTGTTTCACTTTTGCTCTGATAAAGAGACATAGGAGTCGCCGTGTGTGCAGTGTAACTAATAAGCTCATATATTCACTTTGAGTAAGCCCTTCCAAGAAACTATCCTTACAACAATTATTTCTTAAAAAAAATCTTCCTGACACATGGAAAACTTTATTTCATCAGAGCTGTTTTAGACAGGGTTAACATTTTTTAAAAGTCCTTAACTAGGAACATGTTGCCGTCTTGCTACAGTTTTCAGGTATACTTTAAACACTGCAGGGAATCCCATGGCACAAGACTGTTAACTTTTTCCATAGACACGATATTCTTTCATACACTTTCTTCACCTTGACTGAGCCTTTTGGACCCATGAAACACATTTTGCATCAGACCAGGAGTACTGAGTAGGCTATAAAGGAACAAGGTCACTCTTTTCCAGTGCACTTAAGTAGGTGCAGAAGGGAAACATCTGAATAAATAAAAACTTGCTTAAGTTAAAGGTCAACACCAAGTTAGATCAAACCCAAGTATCTTCTCTTATTATACTACATGATTAGCTTAGTTTCCCCAGAAAATAATCATGCATGCTTATCATCTGAATGGGAAGGAGTTGAGAAACCAAATTAACCCAGCCATGAAGGGAACAGCAGCCATCCATCCATTCCCGTTACACATTCTATTTGGCAGCAACCAACTGCCAAACCACCAGGGATAGCCTGACCAGACATTTATCAGATGTTTGGCTTTGAAAACCAGCCAAATAGTACCTTGCACAGGGAAACATGTAGGGTATATGCAGAGGACTGGAAAGGGAAGGGGGGGGTGGTTTAAAAAGGACAAGGAAGTACTAGGCCATATTACAGAGGAGGACTTGAATTGCTGGAGAGGGACACTCTGAGGAAAAATGCCTCTGTGTACATGGGAAAGACAGATATTGCAGTGGCAATACTCCCACATGAGGCTGTCACAAGTCTCATTTATAGGTCCTGCTTTTAGCCCATGATGTAGAGATTTGTAACCTAGTGCTGAAGGGGCTCCAGTCTACGTTCACCTGTCTTTAAACACATAATGCTCTTAACTAGACACGATATGGCATATAACTCGAGAAAGCCAAGGCCTAACGCTAAATTAAGACAGAAAATATTTTCCCATTTACTCTTTTAATTTAAAAATATGTTAGTTCTATAAACTGAAGTACCTTACAGGATACATGTATGTCATTTTTTATGAGAAGATGGAATAGCAGATTTAATTTACTGTTGTCGAATTTGTCTACAAATTATATGGGTTCAAAACCTGAAGAAGTCCTACTATAGTGTATTTCTGAAAGCTAATTTTCTAGCAGTTCTAATAGAGTGAACTACCAATTCACTGGTGGATATGTAAGATGAACTCCATGTCAACTTTACCTAAGATTTCCTTTCAGTGAGAAATTTATAGTCTAATAGACAGACTGTGCAGTGCTAGGATAAATTTACAAGCTCTTCTGGATAAAGGATTTGTTATAGTAGGATAATCTAAGTATGTCTTTTCTTAACTCATGCCAAAGTATACACGCTAAAACACATCACATTTTAGAAAATGAGGTTAGTATAAGAAAGGGAAAATAAGATTATATAAATACAGAAGAAAAATCTTTCATACTCTATTTTGTCTGTAAAGAAAATAAATAAAAATCACGTTTTCGAGCTTTGTTATCCTCTAATCTTCTGCTTTATCTTCCTAGAATCAGCTGAATTTCACAGAGTACAAATTTGCATCCACTATTCCAGAGAAAATCTAATTAGATATATTCCAGGGTCACAAAGCACAGATAGACTAATATCTGAAGGAAATTTGCATTCTACTGATAAAACCCATAGTAATTAAAAACTCCTTTATATTACTACCTCATATTAAATGAAACATTTTTAATTCTGGAATAGGATGGGTTATAGTTATCTATGACTGAAAAAAGCAGCTATTAAGTGCTTGCAAATGACATGACCAGAAGTACCATTATATTACAGAAGAACAGAAAGCTAATACTGGTATTTTTCCATGGAACTTGTATTAAATTTTGTGCACAACATCTCCTTTCAAAGTCATCCCAGAAGTCATTCTTTTTTATAAATGATCATCTATGTATCATAAACAGTGCCTTGGTGGTTTCTTTTTCAAAAGCCACAGTCAATTTTAGTAGCATATTTAATAAGATAAGATAATGGAGGAAGACAGTTAAGTACATGCTTCATCAAAGCTTGCACTGCCTCATGTATAAGTACTCTGCCCATCAGCACACAGACGCTAATTAATGCTCTTAGTATTAAGTCTCCTGCTCCATTTAGTGTTTCACTTCAAAGAAGCCCAGCATCAATACGTAAGTGTTTTACTGTCTTTTAACACTGCCAGACTGGTTGAAATCTTTTTTGAAGACTATTCCCTAATCTCTCCTATCTAGGAAGTGTACTGTGAACATTTCTTTTTCTAAATCTTTCTCCCGTGCTTATCACTGCAGACATGGTAATGTACAACCACCTACTATTCTAAGAAACAAAGGTGCTTCTGCAGTTGTGACTTCCAACCTAATCAAATCAAATCAAAGCAGGTCCCCAGCCAGTAGATGAATTCTTCCCACCCCGTCCCCAGAGAGCCCCGTGACATGTAAATCACTTGACACTTTCCAGGAGGATGCTGTTCTCTACTATAAGCCTGCAGCACACCATTACTGATTACTACTTCCGCACTTACAGAGAGAGACAACATGCTTATTTATACTGACACTTTTAAACTAGCTTATTTTCCCACTATAAAAAGTCATTTCTGTGAAAGACTTCTGTATCAGGAAAGAGGGCAGAGTGGGAATGAAGAACACCCTGTTCTCTACAGAATGATTTTTATTTTAAATCATGCAGATGGGGTACAATATACTAAGCCTGCTCAGTAGAGAAAGGTAAAATGAACTACACAGAGATGTGCTGCACCTAAATGCATGTTAAGGGCTCAGAGATATATCTAAAAAAATGTATTTCCTAATAATAAAATAAAATAAAATAAAATAA